ATATATATATATATATATCAGATTTTTTTAATGTATATTTATAATTCCTATGAAACTTGTTCCAGTGATTAGTGAAATTGCAGTCATCCATATATACCCTTCATAAATTTTTTGGGGGGGTTGGGAAACACTGAAGTTCTTTTGTCCAAAGAAAATTGTGGCATCGTACTCTTGTTTGCTGTATTGGTTTAGGAATGCAGAATTTGAAGAAAACCTGCCCCTGATAATGCAGAGTTTGGAAGATTTTCATCTAGGCTATAATGGAATTACTAACATGGCCCAGCTACAGCTTAGCAGGCTAAAAAACTTGAAACTTCTGTTTTTGCAGAGTAGGTGGTAGCAGCTTTTCTGTACATTCATTCAAGCATTTTACAGTACTTATTGACCCCAGTAAGAATGATATCCTAGCTTTAATCCTTGCCCTGGCTCCAAGATCCTTCAGATATTGAACACTGAAATTCTATACTGCACCACTGTGCCTCACTTGTCTTTTACAAGACAAAGGCAGAGCAGGGTAACCAGCATGTGGAAGACATATTTGTCAGCTCACGGCCAGCAAAGTTCTCCACACTGAGGAAATTTCCTCCTCACTATAAGTAATACCAACGATAATGATTGACCTAAGTCTTGTTCCTCAAGATGCCCAGATTTTATTTAGGAAGATATTTTGCTTGAAATAGAGATGATAGATAGATAGATAGATGAAATCAAACACACTGTTGTCCAGTGTCACTGAAGTGATCCAAAACAACATACAAGTAATTCAGAAAGTTCATGAGCTGCTTTTGCTTAACATAATTTTTTGCTGGAAAGGAATTCAAATCCGTTAAAGATGATTCCATGCATTTACTCTTGCTATATTAAGAAACCAAATTAGCCAAATTGAAGGACTTGAAGGTCTCAAATTTCTGCAGAAGTTGCTATTGGACCATAACCACATTAAAATGATTTCACAAGGTTTCCTTGCTAGTCAGAATGGTCTTTTGACTCTTCATCTGGAGCAAAACCAAATACAAGAACTGAATAGTTTACAACCTGTGGTAAAATTGTAGAAACTCTTTCTGGACTTCAACAGAATTCAAGTACAGTATGTCTTTGTTAATGCTGTAGATTCGGTGGACTAAATGTGGTGGACTGTTTTCAGACAAAATTCCCATTTTCTTGTATGGATATGCCTGAGTAAAATTACCAGTATTTTCCCCAAAATATATATACCAGTTGCAAGATTTTTGAGAACTCCTGACATACGGTGTGTTTTTTCACTTTTGGACAGGAATCATCTGAACTAGAAAAACTTCAAGTTATTCCCAGTCTTAAGGTGCTCTCAAAACACAGAAATCCAATGAGTATATTCATTTGCACTGTTAAATAAACCAGATGTGTATTTTACTTTATACATTGTATATTTACTCTTCATAATCATTAAAACTATTAAGAATTTCTCCATAACCAGGTCATTCTTCAGTATCTGCTATTATGGTTTTAAGGTTGAAGGCTTCCTAGTGTGCATGATGATCACATCGCCTCACTGTGCCTGTCTCAGTGCCATACTGTGATCAGAAGCCACTCATTCTTCAGCATACTGTTCTTCATAGTGCTGCAAGATAAATTTAAAACGTATGTGTTTGCACGAGTGTGTTGCAGCGATGGGCTGTCCTTTCAATATTCCAGAGCAGGTCAGATCTGTGAAGAAATGTCAAAGAATGTTAAAGGATTTCTGAAATACTTGATTTCATTTTTAAAATGGCTCAATAGCAATCTTTGTTGTTGTTTTGCACATCACTCCTTGAAAAAGTCCCGAAGGGAAATTTCAGGTTTCTTTTTTTCCAGACATGTTTCTGTTTTTCAATGTAGTACTGTTGGTTAGCCCAGCTAGAACACAATCTGGCCACTGTCGTTAAAGACAACAAAAAAAGTTTTTACAAATATATTAATGACAAGAAGAGAGCCAAGGAAAATCTCCATCCCTTATTGGATGCGGGGAAGAACATTGTCACTGAGGATGAGGAAAAGGCTGAGGTACTCAATGCCTTCTTTGCCTCAGTCTTTAACAGGCAGACCAGTTATCCTCAGGGTACTCGGCCCCCCGAGCTG